AAAATTATTTGTGTTATATCATTCTTCCTTTTTCTTATTCAGTATTTTATTTTTATCATTTACTTTTGTTCTTATTTAGTGCAACAGAAGTGAAATGTGATGTAAACGTGAACGTTAAAACTTTAATGCCTGGAATAACTGCGTCAAGATATTAGAATTTGCCTCAATAGAGTTCCAATAATTGATTACTAATATCGCGTCTCTTATTATCTTATTTAATTGCACAAATTGTAATTATAAAGTATGATTCATAGTATAATAATGTCACGAATAATGATTGTCCGCTATTTCATGTATGATGTTTGAAATAAAGGTCAAGCTTTAATTAATCCGGTTCAAAACATAAGTGCATTGTATAACTGATGTCAAGAAAAAAACAGTACCTTCCAATCTTACGCATTTGATACCAATATAAAGTTATGTATTACAATTCAAATTCTCTTATGTTACTCATAGCACACTATATTTATAAGTTATCTATCTGACGATTTGAAAGGTATTATTTATTATTAATTAGATTAAGATTGCAGAACATGAAATAAATTTATTTAGCACTATTCTTTTTTTTCTGAACACATTACATACAGTATTAGAATTATTCAATAGCATTATTTATTGTTTCGGATTAAGTCAAATATAGCTGGCGCATCTCATTTGGTACCGAGATGTGACCATCATTAGATGTTACTAATAAACATTTACCATATAAACTATATAAAAATAATTGGTCACACCTAGTGTCAAATATAAAGTATCAGCTATATTAGAGTAGGAAAAAAGTCGTGAGAAAAAAAACAGGCTTAAAGCTCTTGATCTAAATAATGCCGAATAGAACAAATAATTTGTTATTTTTATTGTGTTAAGTCTGTAAGTATAAAGGTCACTGATTATTTTACAATCAATCATACAAAAAATTGCTTAATTTTAAAGCATAATAGTTTTATGCATATGCTGCTTTTGATTTTTTTTAATAAGTTTTTTGTTACTCTTATGCAGTAAAATTCTTTTATTCCCACAACCTAAGAGCATAGTTCAATAAATAAGGTTGAGTATAGCAAAGCGAGTCTAACTAGTACGTAGTTAATCTTGCAATTGATCAAAGGACAATAAAGGGTAACCTGATGTACGTCCTTGTAACGGCTTCACCTTATCTAGTTGTAATACATTTTTATCTATATAAACTATAAGTGACAAATTTATTTGTAGTAGAATTTATGCATTTTTGCATATTTGAAATACTTCATAATCATCGATTGAAAAAATATGGTTTGCTGCGTTTCTGATTGGCGGTTGATAATTGTTTTGGCTACGGTAATAACATCTTTTAGGGCCATGAGGATCACTAAGTCCAAAAGCAGCAAACCATGCACCATAATTTCCACTATACCAAAATGCAGGTGATTGACCGTTTACGCGACTAAGAATAGATTCTTTCATATTCTCAGTTTTTAAAGAAAAAATAAAGCTACCAGGTGCAACGATACTTCCGTTCATTGTGGATTTCCAGCCAAGAGGATTATATCCACCAAGTATTTCATTTGAATTTTCAACCTTTATAACAACTATTAGGCCAGGTATATTATCACATAATTTATGAAATGTTTCAGCATCGAACCCATCTCTACTGCCTCTAAGTAATAACTTGAACTCATATGGAATTTCTGTAATATCATAAGTTGTTGAATGTCGATCAATCCAGGAAGAAATTTCTGCTGCATGTTCTAATTTGATTATGGATGAATGAATAGATATTGATTTTCGAGGAGGAAGTTTAGTTGTCAATTTTTTACGAGGAGGTAAAATTGTAGAAGCAATAGGCTTATTTGGAGATACAAGTTTTGTAATAATATCATCCCACAAATTTTCTTCGAGGATATTTTTATAAGGTCGTAGTTTATCTAAAACTTCATCACCAGGAATTTGAAAATATCTAATATGAGGTAAACAATTTTGAAGAGTAATTTTTAAAGAATTGAAATTTTCATTATTCCATTGCTCATAATTGAAAGGTAAATTTGGAGTTTGCGCTTTTCCCCACAAAATAACTTTATCCCAAATCACAGATTCATCCAATTGTAAGTCGTCATGTTTTAAGAGAGAAATCAATGCATTCTCTTGAAGAGTAGTGAAATCATCAGAATTAAAAACCAAATTTGGGTGTTTAATAACAATATCATTACAAAATTGTTGCAAAGCTTTGAAATTTTCATTTTGAAAACTAATCTGATAAATGTGAGAAAAATTCAAACGAAGCCAAGATGCATTATCTTCAATAAGGAGAGTTTGAAGACGATCAACAGATTCTGAAAAATTAAATTCATTGAAAGTGATCAAAAGATCAAGTATGTTAGAAGTTTCAAGGTTCTCTAAAGAGACTATTCCACCATAAATATATCTACAGGATATAAGAAATTAATTAAAATGCAAAACTGTTAATTCTATTTATTTATAATAAAGTTCTTACATTATAATTATTATAAAAGCAAAAAAACTTACTTAATAACAATATTAAATGTTTTAACAGATATATTGGGCAATTTAATATTAAAGATATTATTTCCTTTAATCGTATTTGCTAATTTCTGTTGAAAGTAAGAAGAGCGTTGATATAAGATTGCAGAATGTACCATGAAAAGTTGAGTATCTGGTTGTTCACCAACTTCGATAATTGTATCATAATTGTATTCACTTTCAAGAATTTTGGTAAAATCTTGTGAAAGTTTATCATAAAATGTCAGCATTTGGAAATGCAATTACAAATGATACAGCACTGCAGTAACGCCTGATCGACAGAAATGCATTTGTATAAAATCTGATGCACAGCCAATCAGCCTCAGCTATGTAGATTTTACACGATCAACGTATGATAAGCTATTTAATAATAACAATGTTGTTTTTGGATGAGTTAAAATTTATTAAAATTCTATATATGTTTGACTTTTCCTGTGTGGAAACTAAAATGATTTTATCTTTTATTGACAAAAACTAATTGGCTATTTAAAGCTAATTAATACCGTTTGTAAGAAAAGTGTTAACGTTAATAAATTCTTACTAATACGGTCTAAAGTGCTTAAAATAAAACTACAAAGAATAAACAAGAAAGAAGTATGTAGAAAGTTTTATTATGGTTGTAGAACTCCATGATTAAAATAATCAAATTTATTTTTGGTTTAGAGAAGTTAGCAAGGTAATAACTATCTTTAAGAAGTCGCTATTATGTTAACTTCTCTAAAACCAAAAATGTTTTTTTGATTATTTTTAATAGCGGAGTCCGCAATTTCATCCTTTTTGATTCACAAGGTCCATTATTTTTGGTTCATAAAAAAAGGCCCACCTTTTTATTAGGTTAAATCATATGGGTTTTATCAAAAGCTGGGCCTTTTTTTATGAATCAAAAAGAACAGACCCTGTGAACCAAAAAGGATGGGCTTGCATTCTTCGTAGTTTTATTTTTTAAAAAAGTAACTTTAAAATTGTATAAATGATGTAAATTCAATAGACTTAAACAGCCAATCTTACGAAAGTCTTCCCATGAGATCTAACCAGTCATCCGGGTAACAGTATAACTGACCCGAAAATTTTGTCAACCGGGTCAGACTTTTAGCAAATCGGTATATCGAAACCTTTTACTAATCGAGTGGCCCGAAATTATTATTGGCTAGAATTTTACAGCCGTTTTCATATCTTCTGGGACATCTAAAAAAATTGCCAATGAATGAATAAATAAGTTCTCATTCGGCTTATGTTGATTCAGTTATCAAAAAATGTATCAACTATTCCAGAAATTATGAAAATTGCTGTAATTTGTCACAATCAATGCTTTACTCAAGTAAATGATTGATTTTTATGTGTCATTACGTGAGATACAAAGATGATTAATGGGTCCATCAAACACCAATACGACGAACAAAATTTTGAAAACTAAATATGCTTTATAAAATTTTGCTTATGTAAAATTCATAACGCAGGATATGTTTATGCAAAATTCCATAGTTCATCTGATTCTTTTTTAGTTTCAGTGAATAATATTTGCTTCAGGCGATAGAACTGGATGACCAATCTTAATCAGGCATCTGTTTTGATTTCGGGTACCCTGTTTATGAAAGTGACCCGACGGCACGGGTAGAGATTTTAATCCATATTGGAACCCTACGCAAGACATGTTTGTGGAAGTAATTTTGTAATGATATCGTTATAAAACACCCAAGTTTGGTTTTTAATTCTGATGATTTCACTATTCTTCAAGAGAATGCATGG